GATAGGCCTTTATTACACGAGCCATCTAGCCACTATATGCACATCCATTTATATATAATATATGCATTATTCACTCAATCTAAACAAAATTATGACAACCAAAAGGCCCAACCTCAAGAATCACTCCTATGGCTCAGAGAGACAAAACAGTTGAGTGAATGAACTTATTTAAGTAGTTTATGATAATAAAGAACTCCTACTTTTAGACTTTCCCTCAAAGATTGCGTGTTTTGGTTAAACTCGCTCTCAAGAGGAGTGATCTGAAACTTTGGGGGTGATGAAATCGACCATTTCTTTCCCTCTTCTAGTTGCTATACTTTCTTGCTTGTTGTAATGGGCTAATGCGTGTAGTTGACTTGATAGATTAGTGATTGTGGACTTCCGATACATCTCATCACTCTGTTATAAAAATAAATCTTAAACCTTTTGTATTATACCCTTTTCATTGTGTGAAAGTGATAGATAATTGAAAGGAGCTACTAATATCCTATTTGTTTGAGGCCTTCTTATCTCTATTACACATATAGTTCTTTCTAAATCCCTCTGTTTATAGCTCTATCACTTCTCGCATAGCCTATTTTTGGCCCTCGTTACTGTTGAAATTGCTCTCCTCGTGTGAGCCTCTTTCTCTATCCACTAATAGACTTTAGTGTTAATAATAAATATCTAGTATCATTGTCTTTCTAGCCCTCCTTCAACATTGTGGACGGCATATTCTGTCTCCAGTGTGGTTTTTGTCAGGACCGTGATTCTAAACTTCCTGTCATAATACGGACATTTAGCTCTCATCAATTTTAACATCTCTTTAAATTTAATATCGTTTTGGAAGAATGTTGTTATTTTTACACGATATTAATAGATCACTATTACTACATGTTAAAAAAAAAAACTTATTACTCTTTGATAAGATTAACTACTCTAACAAAGGAGATTGAGCTATGTCGACACACAATTAAAGTTTTTGTAACTCCTACATAGATCATGTCTATATATCATATAAACGAAACGGGTCATTTTATATAAGACGCATTTAAGAACATAAAGAACATTTAGATGAGAACTAACACAATAAACATAGACAGTGCGAATAGATATCACTAATCTACTCAGTCTACGAAATGACCATATAGCGAGAAACGGAACTCAAGTGAGCGTGGACAAGCACTGGTCCCTACTACAACAAATCGGCCACCCTTATTTCCTTCCGACAACATGATACAATAAGCGATTAGGAACCATGAAACAATGGAGAGAGACAAAACAAATTGTCACAAGATGTTGAAAATATCCAATAAACACCCTCAACAAGAAAGAAAATCAAGAGAGTGTGCGCATATATAATACCTTCAAGAATCCATCCCTCACACCCTTCACAGATACAGTGTGATATTATTATTACCATAGCGTCTCTCATATGGCAGTCCGATCCATTTGTTTTGGAATGACTATTATGATTCAAAGGCACCGGAAGCGCCGTAAGAGAAATAAATGGATTTAAGAAAATAATAATGAAGCTTCGAGGATCATCATTTATCATTTTTCGCATACCGTGTTAACGCCAACGATAACATAGTAGGAAATTTTATATTTTTTTAATACTAACACACCCATATCCCCTCTCTCAATAGAGGTAGCACGAGTTCTCTGTTAGAGCTAGTCAATTATTTATAATATTTTTCTGTTATATAATAATTTTTTTAATTATTTTATTTAAAAACAATTTACAATCCTCATACGTTATGTTTATTGTCTCTTAAAACTCATAGCTTATATCAAAAAAGAAGTAAATAATATCCATTATATACTTACTAGTTTGATTACAATATCTCCAGGCAAACCTATCTTGGAAGGACTAGATCATCACCTAGCAGCCATACCTAATATGATATCTTAATCTCGTTCGAGTTTCCACTGAACACAGATCTTCCTCTTTTTAGACGTGACTATTAGTGCCAAACACAATGCGAGAGTTTTCGACGTGCAGCTTTACGGCATTGTACATAAATTCTATCTGATTAATATTATTAGGTTTACATTATCGAGATCATTGAGCTCATTAATTATTCGACGAATCCTATACACATTTCACTTAGATCTTCATAATTAAAAAATCATTGTACAACGAAACCAAAATATTGAACTTAGAGTGCAAAGAGTATCCTAAACTGATCAAAGAAATATCTATATCACATTTATTATAATATTAAGCCCGTCAAAATTAAGTAAGTAAATCATATTATTAAATTCTAAACACTGACAGGTTTAGACTTTATTGTTTAGCTACGAGATATAAAAATCGTATAATTTTTTGGATGATAGAAGTGATTAATTTTTTTCATAGATCCGTGCCAAGATTTGTGCCAATGTTTGCGAGGGCTAAGATAGAATAAACTGAACTTGAGAGACTGGTTTCAGATTATTGAGTACAAGTTTCCAAATTAAAGTTCATCAAAAAAGATATTAGAGCATAGGAGACAATTTAAAATGATATAGCGGCGAGGAAGCTAATCAGCTGAGTAATAAATAGCACTCATGCATATCCGCCTCCTCATACTATAATTTTAGCTCTACTACTAATACATCTCAAACTCCTAGCAAATTACTCTGAGTATATACTACTCCCACTTTATCCTCCACCAACAAAACAACGTGCTGTTAGAGGAGCCTCTATAATATTCTTTACACTCTCTTCCTAGAAAATAATAGCACTAACTCATTTAAATAGAGTTGGTATTATAATTAGATGGGTGCTTCACCGAACTATGCTAATAAGTACAATGTAATGTTTTATGTATTTCTTTATAAATATCCTTCCACACCAGCTCTTATCAACTCACTCACAGATTTCGAGGAAATAAGTGACTATATTTGTCTCACCACACTCGACCCACTCTATAGAGTAGTTAAGACATAGTCCTGTACCTCAACATGTCTTAACTGTGCAATGATGACAACACAAATGTGATAACCTCACGATATTCACCTCTCTACACTAGTTCAATCTCTTCATCCTCGTCCATCTCTCATACTCTCTCATCACTCCCTACTCTCCATGTTAGGGACTCACATACCATACTTTCAAACCCACATAATTAATACTGCACTCACATATCATATTTACTATAAATAGTTGTAAGGGTTGGCATATGACGCCGTTTTCGCAACACAACGTTAGTACACACACTGTAAATATTAGGCAGCTTCAATTTGCCTTTCTCCATTCTAGTATTTGTACAGCTCTTTCGCAAAAACAGGACGGCCTTCCACAAAGGCTCTCCAATAGCCAGCTTGTACCTACATTGCTCCTCAGTCAAGCAAGGCATCCAAGCGTTACAGCTTCAGAGACGATCAGAACCATTACCAGCCAACTTAACTTGGACTTTCTGATTTTTGTGATACATCCTTGACCAATTTACAATTCGGTGACTCTCTTCCCTTCCTCCCTTCTCCAATCCAATTATCATTTACTTTGATAAAACTCCTTTTTATTTATTATTTATTTATTTTTTGTATCCTTTTGACAATTATTATTATCTAGCTAGTCTGATTGTCTTCGTCATCCCCGCTTACTTTTTGGTTGTACATGTAGTCATCCTATTTTTAGCTTATAGGAAAAAAGTGGCGACATCTGTTTTTGGGAACCCATGCCACCCATTGTATTGTGATGGTTAATATTTTCGTTTTTATAATTTTTTTTTTTTCCCCTCTATCTCTCAACACATATGTCTATAGAGGTTGTGGGGGTTAAAAAAAAAAGAAAAGAGATCCGTATCATTTCTTTTTGTTTTTTAGGGGTTTGAAGCTAAGTGTGGATCATAAACTTCAACATGAAAGATTGAGTCCCCCTTTTTATGAGGTACCTCACAATTGTGTTTTGGGATCTTCAACCATTTGATGGTGTCAGAAATTTATAATCAATTTTCACCTTTTTTCTCTCACAACTATCACAAATCAATGTAGCAAGAAAAAAATCGAACTATCTCCCAAATACAAAAAATTTTCGTTTACTAATAGTCGAAAACCTAAAATAAGCTACTAAAATAACAACTTTCCAAACACTCACATAGTTATCAAAATACCCACAATAATAATAGAGTGTAGTGCGTATTAATGTTTACATTGACAATGTGAATGTTACATGATGTAAATATTCAAAACGTCAATTTGAACATTCATATTATCAAATTTATTTAATGTGAATGTTCACATCACCAAGTTGTCAAGAGTTCAAAAAATATTTGTAATCCATAAAATACATTAAATATGAGAAATTAAGATTTTGTGGATCAAATATCCAAAATAATAAGACTTATTGAAATACAAGAATATCTTATGAACTAATTGGAATACAAGTACTTGAAAGAGAATTTTCTAATAAATTCGCCTAATTTAATTTAGATACATTTGAAAAATAAGTTATTTGTGATTTTTTTTTTTTAAATATTACATAGAAAAAATAAAAAAATTTAACACATTTTTTACAAATATTTTTATTTTAAATGACTTTTGTTAAAAATTTCTAAAATATAAATATTGTAATAAATCATCTCCATTAAATTATTTAATAATTATGAAAAAAAATTAAGTCAATAATTGTAATTATTTTTTAATTTGAAATAATAATAAGGGGATGTTTGGAATGTGCTAAAATAGCACATGTTATTTTAGCACATTATTCTATTTGGGTCAATTATTTTATTTGAGTCATATTACCTTTCTACCATATCATTTCAAATCTAACTCATAATTCACTTTTTTTTTTTGTAAAAAATTAAAAAATATACTTATTTATGTCATTTCAAACGACCCCTAAATTTGCATGACCATAACAATCTAAAAATGTAATGGAGAGAAGATGCAAATTTTTAAAATATTATTTTAAAATTTTCTCAAATTAATCAAGTCTCTCGTTTGGGATGAGGTTTTTTTTATTTATTAAAATAATCAAAAATTCAAAATATCCAATCACATGACTCTTTCTATTTTTTATGTCTTTTTAGGAGCTTTCTGGTTGTTGTCTACTTCTGCAGATTTTATTCTACTCTGTTTGCTCTGCTGGTTTGTGAGGTAAGTGAGGATGAAATCACATTCTTGACTGGAAATGATGACGATGCAGCGATAGAGAAGCTTTACCACCCAAATCTTAAGCTTTTGATTGTTACCGAAGGTGCAGGGGGCTGCAGATACTACACTAAGGAATCTAAGGGTAGGGTTGATAGTCACAAAGTTGATGCAGTTGACACAACAGGTGCAGGTGATGCTTTTGTTGCTGGATTACTGAATAGTTTGGCTTCAGACCCTACTTTGTACAAGGAGGAAGAGAAATTAAGGGAAGCTCTTGTCTTTGCGAATGGCTGTGGTGCTCTCACAGTGATGGAGAAAGGAGCGATTCCTTCATTGCCGACAAAAGAAAAGGTTCTCAAATTTCTGAAATAATGCCACAGCATGACAAAGATGAATGTTTTTTGCCATTGTGTTCAAGTTTTGATTTGCAGCCAAACAGACTGTCAAAGTTGCAGGTTGTGCTGTTGTGCTTGGGGTATTGAGCAGCTGTGGGTTTTGAGTGTTAGTGTTTTTTCTTCAGTCCACCCGAACAGCCAACAATTGGAAGTAATGGCATGAAGTGGTTAGGATGATCATAGTGTGTTTCTGTGTTATTGTTTAAGGAGGGAGCTTTTTTTCCGTTCTTTTTGTTCTTTCTCTTTTGTTGTTTGCTTGATTGGTTTCTCACCAATCTTGGGTCAAGTGCTAGCAAATGATTTTGCTTCCTTTGCGGTGCCAACCTAGTTGGGATTGTAGAGGGTAGCTTTGATGCTCAGTGCACTTCCCTGCTTTATTGATGTATTTTGCTTGTATTTTGCTTTTCCATCAATAAAGTTTTCTTTTGCCGATCAAAAAAAAAAAAAAAAAAAAAAAAAAAAAAAAACCTCAAATACATATTCCGACAATATTAGAGGATTCTACACGCAAAATGGAGCAAACAGTGTTTTTTAGCATGAGCCGCACGTGCGACAGTTGGCCCCGCACGTGCGGCCCTAAGGTCCCGCACGTGTCTTTTAGGCAGAACCAAACCACAAAATTTTAGCATTTGCCGCACGTGCGGCAGTGACTCCCGCACGTGCGGCGATTGCCCAGTTTTGGTCCGAAATTTGCAACAAAATCTCATCTTTTGGGGAATGTTTCCAAGGCTCAAGGATGGATCTTTTCAATGCTAAATCATGGTTCAAAAACATGTAATTCAAGGTATCACATACACAATCTAACTTGCATTAATCATGAACACAACTCAATTTGATCAACCAAGAATTGAAACTCATAAACATAATTCCATTTCTTGAAATTCTTAACTTCACTTGCATCTAACATAACCTAGAGACCCAAAATCATGATCATAAGAATGAATACCAATTGGATGAGGAAGGAGACACATAAATGATAGGATTATCATACCAAAACTTCAACATACACAACCAAGATTCTCATCACACTCTAGATCATACCCAATTAAGAACTTTCTATTTCAAATTGAGGAAGAGGATTGGATTAGGGAATTTAAACTTACCTTAGCTTCAATCTCTCTCAATTCTTTCTTGTTCCTATCCTCTCTTCACTCTTCTCTTCCCAGGGAAACTTATGAGAAGGTTCCTAAGTCTTGTGCTCATATAGACATACATATAGCAATTGAATAAGGACGAAAATCAATCGTTTAAACATCCCAAATTGTTTAAACATCCCAAATTGAAATTTCATAGAAACGCCTAATGTTACGTAAAAATTATACTGATCACATATATGAAATCAATTTCGGATAATTAAGCCACTAAGGCTTCCAATTTCTGGTTTAAACATTCTCATGTAACAGATACTTGTCATGTTAAACAGATAGACTCCCTTAAACATGCCTTAAACATGGAGTTCACTTACTTAACCATAATTTCTTATAGAATTTCACGATAAGCATTCAACAGCCTAAAACAAGAACTGAAAATATATCAGAAAACTTATACGAGGGTCGGGTTATTACAGACGTATCACGGTGTTTCGGAGAAGGAACGTGCAAAACAATGCAAGTTAGAGGGGTACAAGACAATGCACATGAAATATGCAACAATGCGAGAGATTGACAGGCATGATAATGCAAATGGAAGATGCATGACAATACGAGTTGTTCGAAATGCATGACAATGCACGTTGTTGAAATGCATGACAATGCGAATTATTGAGACGCATAACAATGCGAATGAGACACGCATGATAACGCATGAACTATAATGCATGACAATGCAAACTTTTGGAATGCATGACAATGCAAATGAGACACGCATGACAATGCATGAACTGAAATGTAGATGAAAGATGCATGACAATGCGTGTAATTGGAATGCATGATACTGCATGATTTATTGAAATGCATGACAATGCATACTATTGGGATGCACTACAATGCAAATGAACTCAAATGCGTGACAACGCTCGTTTCTTGAAATGCATGTCAACGCAAATGAACTCAAATGCATGACAACGCACGTCTTTTTTTGAAATGCATGACAATGCAAATGACCTCAAATGCGTGACAAGGAACATGCATGACAATGCATGTGAGGTGCGCATGACAATGCGAGATAAGGAAAATGCATGACAATGCATGTAAGGTGCGCATGATGATGCGTGATAAGGAACACGCATGATAATGTATATATGGCATGCGCATGACAATGCACAAAATGTGTGCATAACAACACGAGTGAAATGATGTATAACCAACGCGCGCTCACAACAAAATGTTGTAATGCAACGCATGTAAAGCAATTTCTGAATTTCTCAAGAGACAAAAGGATATGAAAAAGAAGGGTACACCTCGTACGTATCAAGTCCCATGCAAAGAAGACACGGCTCGAGGTCAACACGGAAACCGGTTAAGCTTTGAAAATGCACTTTCTTGCACTGTCTTGAGTAATGAAGGTCCATAACCATATAAATGACCCAAATAAGGGTGTAGGAGATTCTCCGGCCACCGGGGAAGACCACCGGCCATCCATCGGCCACGAAATAAGGTCACCGGCCAAATATTTGGCCGACCGGCCAAAAATTGCTGTATCGGGGCAGTTTTGTCCTTTGGCCACGGGTCTTTAAATATGGGGTTCCAAACCCCATATTTTCACTTCTCACAAGCCCGAAAACCCATCCCCCTTCTCTCTAGGTGATTTTCCCGCCTTCGATCCATGTTTTTCTCGTGTTTTCAACACTTTTTCGTCGTTCGATTCGCGAAAACCTCCCCGTTTTGCACGTTTTGAACCGAACAAATCTTAGTTTCGGTGTACTTTTCTCGATTTCCACCACTTGGGGTTTGTTTCCCCCGAGTTTACCTCGATCTTTGTGCCTTTTTCAGACTCTGACCTTTCTGCCCATTTTTCACCCTCTCGACTTTTGGGTTGACTTTTCACATTCTTGCCCGGTTTTCACACTTCTGGCCATTTTCACACTATTATTGAGATGGCAGATGACATTCCAGGCGGCGGGGCACCCCCGGAGTTGGACATGGACCCTGAGGCCGAGCTCCTACCTCTTCACATCTAGCCGTTTGATCCGGCGGCCTACAGGCCGGCGATACACGTGCTTCCTCCTGACAGCCTCCATCACTTCAGGAGCTATGAGCGGCGCGTGCCACTGGAGCTTCTGTTGCGCGAGCCAGGGTCGCATCTATCCTATGGCGTTTCTGAGGTACACTCTTCCCTATTTTATTTTCTGCAATGTGGAACACATAACTGCAATAGCGATTCTGTTCTTTAACTGCTTAACTCAGTCACACTTATACATCGCATGCTGTAGTTCACTGCGAGCACACTCGCACCTGATACCTGTTTGAATCTGAACACGTGTACACACGTTGTATTTTCCACTGAACCATTCAAATACATTGATACATCACATGCTGTAGTTCACTGCGAGCACACCCGCACCCGATATCCGTTTGAATCTGAACACGCGCACACACGCTGCATCCTCAACTGAACCACTCAAACACACTGATACATCACATGCTGTAGTTCACTGCGAGCACACCCGCACCTGATATCTGTTTGAATCTGAACACGCGCGCACATGTTTCATTTTCATCAATTCTGAGTGCATTCAACACTGTATTTATAACACTGCTTCGCAACTGTTTGTTTTGACCACAGGGAGATTCCCATGCCTTCCGGGGGTATGGGAATGTTGCCGCCAGAGGTTGGTACATGGAGCTGCCCCCCCTCCTTGCTGCTCGGGTGGAGAGGTGGTAGGACATCACCGACTCTTTCTACCTTTCTGCCACCGGGGAGATGACGATGACTCCCTTCGACTTCTCCATGCTCACAGGCATCGAAGTGGGGGGGTGATCCGATCCCCTTTGATACAGACATGGACGAGTGGGACACCGCTCAGCTATACTTGCTTGGCACTCAGCCACCTCTCGCTCGGGCAGGGTTCGTGCGATACTCATGGTTTGAGGATCATTTTCGGATCCAGGCGCCTACTACCCGGGAAGAGGAGGAGCGGTACGCTCACGGTTTTATCATGTTTCTGCTAGGGACCACACTTTTCGCCGACCGAGCGAACACCGTCGCCCTCTATCTGCTGAACGCGCTTGTGGATGTGACACAGATCCGCCGCTACAACTGGGGTGGCGCAGGCTTGGCCACTCTTTACGGGTACATGAGCTCATCTTCCCGCCTCAGCAGACAGTTTACTTGGAGGCTACTGGCGAGCCTGGGAGGTGCATGTTCCCTTTTCTGTCTTTTCAATTCTGCCTTTCATTATCTGTACACCATACACACTGCGTACACGCAATCTATTCTTCACTGATTGTACATTGCACACACTGCACAACACACCGCACACATTGCACAATACATTGCACACTGTTCTCTGATTTTCGCTTTTATCTATATACTGTTTTATCTGATAAGCCTACTGGTGTTTACTCTATTACACTTTGCGGTTGTGGGTATATGCCTACTTCCCTAGGCTTGCCCCGGTACCAGATGAGGAGATGCCCCTCGGCGTCCCATTTTCTCACCGTTTTGACGCGAGATGCGAGCGGAGGCCGTAGGAGCCCTTCATGTTCTTCCACCGCTACTTTGACACTGTCACCGCAGCCGAGGTATGTCAAACATTTCAGTTTATTGTCTTTTCTTTGCAATGTACCTTAAATAACAAATAACAAACTGTATTTACTGCTATTTGCAGATCACCTGGCAGCCGTGGGCCTTGTTGCCCATCGCAGTTCGGGAGTGGTATGCTGACGCTCAGGAGACTGCCCGATTCAGAGTCTTGTTAGAGGGCCCGGTTTGCCATGCCTGGAACTTTGGAGAGCGCTTCTTGCAGCAGATCTTGGGCATGCCAGAGCAGCCAGTTCCAGCACCTCCTCCTACCCATGCGAGGGACACTGAGAGATATACCTTAGCGGAGATGATGAGTTACACCATCGGCTGGAGCCATAAGCGCTTTGTAGACGAGGGCGACTATGCGAAGTTCGTCCAGACCTATATCATGCGGCCTTTGACTGGTGCCGGCCGAGTTGAGAGAGAGAGACCAACGGCGCCAGCTGCGAGAGCAGGAGCA